TCTCTTACTAAAACTTCTTCAACTATAATTTTCAACTATTTCAACTAACATATTTCAATTATTTTATTCACCCACCTACACCAAAACCCATCACGTTTTTTTAAGGTGTAGTCCAGCTGGAAACAATAGATTTTTTTGGTTTTCTGTCAATTGTGTTTATGGTAAAAAATAGAAATTTTTAAAAGTTTTGAATACCATTTCTTCTAGTGCATCTTCTTGCAATCAAAGTGATGTTAATAATATCTTTCCCAATGAATGCTTAAAGGTGATGAAAACCTATTTACTTGTTAAGGATAAACTTGAAAAGAAATAGGCACTTGATTACATGATAATAGTGCAAAATGGTTATGAAAAATACTTAGAGAAGAAGAATACCACTGTATCAGGTAAGTAGAAAAAACTAAAGAAATCAAGCTCGAGTATTGCACAACTGAAGGTACTAGTAGGATAGTGGCAAAACAAAATAGGCAATAAATACCTGTCTCCAAAGAGGAAACATTCTAGACTCATCACCATTGAATCGCTATGCACTGGTGAACATAATATAATAAATTTCACAATTCATATCTATAGATAACCTATTCCAAAATAAATTTTACTAGGACAGTAAAACAACACAAAGCATAGTTTAGATTTTAAAAAACTTTTGGCAACCCCAATTATGTAATGACTATCATCAATAAGACTCAGAAGTCCATGACTGTCAAACTCATCAGAGCAGCAAGTGATCACAATCCCCCTCATAGAAATGTTGTTTACAAAAAGGGAGTTGTCGACCTATATGTGATAACCATTTTTGGCACAAGCAACATTTATAATTTCTTTTCAAAATAGAATGTGCACTTAATTTTCATTCAAGATTAAAAGTACTTTACAACCTTTATAACTTGGAAGTGATAATCCGTATTACCACTAAACTAATGCCTTTTAATCAAGTTGCAATGAGTAGAAGCTCTAGTGCTCTACTAAAGTTTGATTCCAAAAATGCAAAACTAACCCCTTTCTATAAAAAAAATATCAATACAAGTGCATATTATTTAAGTAAGTGAAGTTTACATCCAATATGGCCAAATATATTTCTATTAAAGAATTTCATATCCACGGTTCCTATGTAATGATACCTTTCAATGAATGCCACTTAGGCAAGCTGAAGCCTCTATCATGCACGAATTAATAGCATCCATTAAAAGTCAGAATGATACAATGCCATCTTAAGTGTCATGCTAAAAATTGTACATACTTCAATAAATGAAAAGGGGACAAACTGCATTTTCCATAGGTTTACAGGTTGTATGATTTAACTACTAATCCAAGGGGTAATGTATGGGTATTTTCTTCTCTTTCAATATTGTAAGGAAGCAAAATTTAGAATTAAAATAAAACCATATCATCTTCTAGTCATGAATACAAATGTAAAACTGCTAAATATATCCAAAGAAATTCACCTCAAAGTTAAATTAGTTTCATATGAGAAGAACAGACCAAAGGTTTTCTCAACAACATTTAGCAGTGCAGAAAATTCCATCTATGTTTTTCTCTGCCAAATATGGTAGAGCAGTTATGAGTTCCAAACTGGTAGTGAACATAGAATGAAATAGGAAATAAGTGGAGCTGTAGCAAACATACCTGCTCAGCAATGGTACTTTTAAGAGAATGATCACATGAAAAAACCTTCAATGAAGAAACTTTGAAAATTGAATGCCCCAAGTAAGATCCAACACATTCACGCTCAGTTATAACCAGCAAATACGATCCTAAGAGAATAGTAAAATTTAGCAACACCACAATGATAGCTTAAATTGAAGTATAATATTTAAAAATAATGCATAAATGAATTCTCTATCTCTTGAGTCTCTCACTAAAACTTCTTCAACTATCATTTTCAATTGTTTCAACTAACATATTTCAACTATCTTATTCATCCCACCTACACTAAAACTCATCACGTTTTTTTAAGGTGCAGTCCAGCTGGAAACAATATATTTTTTTATTTTTGTGTTAATTGTGTTTATGGTAAAAAAAAATAGAAATTTTTAAAAGTTTTGAATACCATTTCTTCTAGTGCATATTCTTCTAATCAAAGTGATGTCAATAATATTTTTTACTAAAGCACTACCAAAACTAAAATTTGAATAGCTACGCACAATGCTTGGAGTTACAGAAATTTACATCAAGGAGAAATATTAAAAATTAATACAAATTTTTAGAATAGTTTAGAAAAAAAATACTAGGAACAATTTAGAAAAATTTATTTGAATCTTCTAGTTTCAAGATACTTCTAAAGATACTTTTAGAATATTGAACTACCAAAACATAATGATGGAGGATGTCTATGAATAGGCATGCTATCACATTATAAATGCTATGAAATGATCAAGTTATCAATTCTCTATCTCTTGAGTTTCTTACTAAAACTTCTTCAACTATCATTTTCAACTGTTTCAACTATCTTATTCATCCCATCGACACCAAAACCCATCACGTTTTTTTAAGGTGTAGTCTAGCTGGAAACAATAGATTTTTTGAGTTTTGTGTCAATTGTGTTTATGGTAAAAAAAATAAAATATTTTAAAAGTTTTGAATACCATTTCTTCTAGTGCATCTTCTTGCAATCAAAGTGATGTCAATAATATCTTTCCCAATGGTTGCTTGAAGGTGATGAAAACCTATTTACTTGTTAAGGATAAACTTGAAAAGAAATAGGTACTTGATTTCATGATAACAACGCAAAATGGTTACGAAAAATACTTGGAGAAATGAGAAAAAATAAAATAAGTCTACCACAATTTACTACAACAGTAAATCAATTATAACAATGACAAAGAACCCAGTGTATCATAACAGAACAAAACATATAGCAATCAAATACCATTTCTTCTAGTACATCTTCTTGCAATCAAAGTGATGTCAATAATATCTTTTCTAATGGCTGCTTGAAGGTAATGAAAACATATTTACTTGTTAAGAATAACTTAAAAAAGAAATAGGTACTTGATTGCATGATAACAGTGCAAAATAGTTAATCAGATATGGATACTGCCTTGGGTGAACGAGCTCCTGGTGTTGTAATTTCTACTCACTCGAAAAGGAATAGAATTGCAGCTCTTTGTATGTTGATCTAAATGTATATAAAAATAAAACCTTCAAATTTTCACTATCACTCATCATTTTCGATCTTGTATTAATTTTACTTTATTCATTAACTCTAAGGTCTTCTTTTCCAAGACCCCATCTTATCAAAGTCGCATGCTTCACTGAAGATATTTCTCAATTCATAGTAGAGATTAATCCCTTTTAAATCACATAGAGATTATAGATTGATTTGCACATTTATTTTTATCTTTTTGCTATGCTAAAGAGCCTATAAAAAATTTTAGAGTATTTATACTGACTTATGTGGGATATGAAAATTTAATTTGATTTTTTTTTTCATTTTAAATAACTTCAATGATTGATATGCTTATTCGAGTGATAGAAAATGAAGTTTTGTGGGGGATAGTCTTAGAATATAAATTCTAAAAGGTCTTATCTCTTTAGTTTTTAGTTAAGAGGATAGCACTTACATTTTAAATATTCTTATTACTCTTTTATTGTATTCCTTTTTACTTCTTGTAATTGTAGCAATGTTCACATCAAGATTAGTACATATTTTGGTGGGGGAAAACGAAGTGCATTCTAAATTTTTTTTCCTAAAATTTAACAGCTAAATATCGTAACTGATTCATGTTCAATTTTCCCGTATTTAGTGTTGAATCTACCTCCTCTCCATTATATACCCCCCCTAAAAAAAATAAATTGTTATTGTAGAATATTTTCCATAATCAACATTAAATAATTATATTAAAGAGTTTAACTATATTGAAAAATGACTAGCTAGCTTCTTCAATTTGTTTTGTTGGATGCAGGCTAGTGTCTTTTATAATTAAATGCTCCTATTGCTACATACTATAATGCCAACCAAAATGGTTAATTTATTATTACTTTGAACTAAATCTTAAGTTTTATTGGATGCATAGTTTGTTAGTTCCCAAGTAGTTAATTTTTAACTACCGGGATTGTTTGATTTTTTCTTACCTCTAATCAGACGCATGTTGAACATATGATCATGGCTGATATATACACAACATTGATAAACCAAGGACAAGAGAAAAACAAACGAAACGAGGATTAATGCATGTTTTGACAAAAAGAACAAGACATTCCTTTTATGCAAGTCCAAGACTTTTACAGATTTTATCAACAGCCTGCAAGTTATTGTACTAAGAAGAAGGAACTGGAAGTTTTCTGCAAAAAAAAAAAAAAATGCTGATTTTGGGGAGAAATAGGAACCAGAGATATCTAATTGGAAACTTTTATTTCCATCTCCACATGCAAATGAATGGTAATAGAATGTGTAAAGGTATGCATGTGGCAAGTTTCATGTATCAAAATGAACGATGAAGGAGAGATATCCTTCATTCTTCACATTTTCTTTCTTTTCGTATCTCTCCCTTCTTCTATCACATTATCTATACGTCCCATTTTGCATTTTGTCACTCTTATTTTTTCCTTTATATTTCTCTTTTTCTTCCGCTAGCCTAACACTCAAATTAACATTATTTTTCCTTTGGATATACATTTTCATTGACAGAGAGTAATGAATAAAGTAACGCATGAGAGGCTATTCCTTAGTCTTCTACTTCTAAGGGTGTAAGCAATAAGAGATTCACAAAACTGTACGTGAGGCATGAGATCCGGCCGGCATGCGTATATATACATCAATCCCTAACATATCAATTCCGCATAAAGAGTTACGATAATCACTTATACAAACATAGGATAGCATCTTATATACTATATTACTTAACCAAAACCCATAAAGCAGCGAAAGTGTTATAATACTATGTTATAAAACCAAAAGCAAACAAAAATTATATATATATATATATATATATATATATATATATATATATATATATATATATATATATATATATTAGGGCTTATTAATTCAATTGCTTTCATTCATCATCATCTTCAGTCGAAGGCATCTCATTCAAGTCAAATCTTAATTTCCTTCTCTCCTCCTCAACCTTTTCTTCTTCAGTAGGGTCAACATTGTGAAAGGACTCCATTGGTTGGTTCAGATCAAACTCATGCTCTGGAATAGGTGATAGTGGTGCTGACCCTTTCTCGCCGCTCTTTCCCTCAGCACTCTCACCTACCAATTAATAACCATATAATTGTTAATATATAAAGAGACACGTCCAAATCATAAAAAAACACACACACACACACACACGAAATCATTGTTCGTTATATAGTGAGTTAATACCTGTGTGATCTTGAAGTGAATGTTCTACGGATGTGGAAGTGGAGCCAAAAACAGGAGGCTTGAAGAAACCGCGATATGCACGTTCAGGGTGTTTACGCATGTGACCAAACGCGCCCTTCCAAGTCAAAAACTCTTTTAGACAGAGAGGGCAAATGGGTTTCCCACTGGGAATTTCTCTCAATTCCGAAGCCTTTCTTTTTCTCACAAGTATTCCTTCACTGCCAACTTCACCACTCTCCACCATCCTTGCACCACCACCACCATTCCCAGCCACAGAAACCCCACTTTGCCTTGAACCACCAACTTTACCACTACCACCACCATCACCAAGTTCCTCCAACACTTCCCAAGGGGTCTTCATTAGGGTTTCTCTTTCCCCTTCCTCTTCAGAGCCCTGGTCATTGGTTTGGTTGAGTGTGTGATGAGTTTCATCAGAGGGAGGGTGTTCAGGGGAAGAAGGTGGAGACTTGTTATTAGGATCCGTTGTTGAATCCTCGGAAATGTTCTGCGTCTTCATCGATCTTTGTCTGTATGTTTGAAAATCAAAACCTAAGAATAATGAAAAATGACCAATGGCAGTGGGTGTGAAATCTTAGTATGTTGAAGAGTTTGTGTTTGTGATGAATATTTATGATGATTCTTCGTATGCTATATTTTGAGTGCATTAACCATATTTGAACCCGTGTGTTGTTATTACATACCCATTTGCGAAACAATACGATCATGCAAATTGATTATGCCTTTTGAATTTAGACTGGAAAGGTGACTTGAATACGTGTGTCTATTATATACTATATTTGTAAAATTGTGTTAATAGAGAATTATTAATGATACAAAACAAAATGTACTCATAATTATTAAAATTTTTAAAAATAAATACTTTTGTTACACTTTAATTCCATTATATTTAAATAAAAATGTCAGAAAAATAATCTAGATTTTGTAATTATCATAAATGAAATCAAGATAACCACTGTAAAAATAATATCGTTTATTTTCAAACTAAAATTATCAAAGTATTACAGTAGTCTTTATTAGTATAGTTATTGTCTAAAAAAATATAAATTTTAAAATTTTATACTGACAATATAATATATATATATATATATATATATATATATATCATATTTAATAATTTTGTTTGTATAAATTTTTTAAATATTTATTTTCTTTTTGGAGAAAAATTATACTAACAAAAAAACTTAGTACATTTGATAATTTGTGTTAATAAATGTCAATATTTTTGTATTGAATCTTAATGTTCATAAAACATACATTCACGCATACGTATGCATATGTGAGTGTACTTATATAAATATATCAAAAATTTATTTTTTTAATGATTTTTAGGAATAGTAAATTTATCAAATGTTAGATTGAAATTGTTTTTGAAACAGATCAAATTTAAAATATTTTATATTATAAAAAATAATATTCAATAATTGTAACAATTTATTTAAATTATATAATATTCACTTTTGTATAGAAAATAAAAAAAGGAAACTTTTCAAATCAACATTGAGGAGGCCTACCTTTAAAATGAGTTATTCGTATAAATATGCAAAATTTTCAAAACATGTAGGTCACAACATGATGAATGGTTTTTATTAATAGAATGTTTCAAAGAATTTCATTTATAAAATGTATGGTTTGTATGAATAAAAACTAGTCTCAAAGGATTTCTTTCACCAATTAAACCAATATATGAATCGATACTGTTTTTACACATGCACGTCATTATATGTCTCACAATATGTTTAAAAAGTCAATCCAAGTAGCATTTTTGCGTCGATTTCAGGTAGACTTTGTGGAGTAGACGATGACAAATAAAAATTTTAAAAAATTGAAAATAATGCCAACGAAAATTATCATTCAGAAAAAGGTAAAAGTAATTAAATTCATTTTATTTTCTTTTTTTAATATTTATACTAAATAAATGTCCAAATCCTTCATATTTTACTATCCACTATATCCTAAAGGTTGTCTTCGTAATATTATCGTTTAATGATTGATTTGGTTCGTTTGGAAAATTCAAGGCATAAAATTGAAAGAAAATGGTTGCTATGTGCCCCATAAGTATATATATCTGGTAAGAAGTAGAAAAGAAAGAGAAATGAAAGATATAGCCAGTGATATATACGATGTGATAAGAATAAAAGATTGGAAAAGAAAAGTAAAAATACTATAGAAGTATATAAAAATCATAATTAAAATAGTTGTACCCAAAGCATAGAAAAAATATACTAGATAAAATAGATAGCTTGCTTTTGAAAATTAAGTACATACCAAGTTGAATCGAATCTTGAATCTAGCTGTGTGTAGCCTCTTGCAAAGGTGACTGACTATATACACAACCATCGAATGTTCCTCATTTAATGGCAGCAGCAATACCATGGACACAAATTAACATTATACTCTATCTGTGCTTTGGAGCTTATTAGTATGTTTTGATTTTGTCCCTAAAAGAAAATAAATCAAATAATTCCTTAACATTGAATTCTAAATGAATATTGAATATTAAAATTAATATTAACTTTATAATTAAGGAAATAACTTGACCTTTATTATGTTTAAAATTAATTTCATTTGATATTTATAACATTAAATACATATTTACCTTATACATTCTTGTGGGATCCATATCAATTAAACTAATTTAAAAGATTCTTTCTGGTTAGAAAAAAAAAAGAGATTTTATTAAAGAAATGCATGCAACTAAAGCTCATTTTATTTTTAATTGCATGTATTTTACAACATACAAGGGAGTTTAGCGAAATTAATTAATAAACTAGGTAAAAGTTGATAGCTGATTAAATTAGAAGTATTTTATAAAACTGGTTTTTAAACTAATTAATAAGTATAAAATAACGTAAAAAAATATGATAAAGTAGGGAGAATAAAAAAAAAACATTAATAAGTCTTATTTAACTAAACAAACTTTATAAAGCTAGTTAAATAATTAAAAGTTAACTTAAAAATCTTACCTAACACATTGTTATTTTAAAAATTTATGCACATTGATTCCATGTCTCAATTTATATTTTTTATAAGTGGTTATTTTTTTTAATAATGTTAGAATACATAAACACATTTAATCATTTGATTCTCTCTCACACACATAAACACACTAGACTTGATGCACATTAAATATTTAGTTTAATTGTACTTCCTTATTAAGTTAATATTAATTTTAATAAATTTTTGCATTATTTAATTATTATATAATTTGTGAATCTACCAAATTTTCTTCATATAAATTATTTTAATATTAATTTTTATTTAAATTATTGACAAATTAAACTAATCGGACCAATTTAAACATGTTACTCAAAAGCTACCTAATAAAACATAGAATTTTGTTTAAAATAAAAAAGTCTCAAATTATAAATTTTGTACGATTCTTCGAATTTGATTTGAAAAACTGATAAAATTAAACAGAAGAATGTAGCCATTTGTTTAAGAATTACTTTTTTTTTTTAAGGTTATATAATAAGGGATTTTATTTTATTTTTTTGCTTCTAATAAGGGAAATATTTATTGTATTAAAATATTAGGTATATAGACTAATTATGTAAAAAAATTAAGATCAATTTATTTTCTCAATTATAAAAAATGGATATTAATTTCAATATATAAAAATATTAATATTTCTTTAATGATTTAATTTTGAGAAAGAACCCAACAGTTTTTTTAAGCAACTAAATTAGATCAAGTGATCTTTTTCAAGGACAAGCTAAATAATTATTTTAGGGAATTTAAAAAAATTGTGGAAGTATCATCTTAGTTAATTAAAGTGACATATAATTACTTTTTTCAATTTAGATAGGATTTTGTTGACAGGAACTAATGCGTCTCAAGAAAGTATATAATCTTGAAAAGTTATTTAGTTTTTTTTTTTAGAATAAATTGAATCAAGTTATTTTTTCTGTTCAAATTCAGTCTTTAATATGTACACTCTTTTTAAAGAAAAATTAAATTAAATTAAAAAAATACCAACAAGTGAAAAGGTCAATTGCTAAGGGGTATCCGATTTTCCATTTCAAGCAAAATTTATATCAGTTTATGGTCGAAGAATTTTTTTTAAAATATGGCTTTAGTGGTGAAACTTGAAAGTTCAATAAGGTCTATGCCTCAACTTTGCTAGGAATTAAATATTTGCGACCCTGCTAACATTTAAACTTGAATTTGTTGTTTTTTTAACTGATATTCAATGAAATATAATTCTCTAGTGTTTTTAATATAGCCCTTAAAACCATTAAACATCAATAATGTGATATAAGATCAATAGCAACATTTAGCTTGCAGGAGATCATGCTTAAGAATTACTTGAACAAGTTTTGATGAAATGCAAAATCTTGGAGAATCTATTCAATAAATTCTATGGTTTTAAAATTAGAACCCGTAAATTCGATCCCAATTGAACTAAGAACCGGTGAAATTAAAATTTGTTAGAACCAGCCATATATGCACCAGTTTTTTAATTAATTCTGTTTCTATTTTTTTGTCTTTAGCTCAACAACGCTTTTTACACTCCCAAAATACCGTGAAACAACATTTTGTTGAGGCAATTCTTTATTTAATTCCTTTTTATTAATTTTTTTTCTTTTTTTATATTTTTTCTGTTTTTAATTATAGTGTAATACTGCAAATAGAAGATGAGAAAAAGAAAATGTGACGGTTTGTGTTCTTTCTTCTTCTTTTTTACATTTTTCTGTTTTTAATTATAGTGCAACACTGCAAATGGAAGACGAGAAAAAGAAAATGTGACAGTTTGTTTTCTTCTTTTTCTTTTACATTTTTTTCTGTTTTTAATTATAGTGCAACACTGCAAATGGAAGATGAGAAAAAGAAAATGCGATGGTTTTACCAATTCTTTGCGACTATTTTTGTTCTATCCCAAGGGAAACTTCTTTCTTCAGGGAAATACGAGTTTTATGTCAAAGAAGTTGAATTTGGAACTCACCCGAGCTAATATATAAGAATATTATAAATGTCATCTCTTCTCTTCTTCTAAACTATTTTTAACAAAAGTGAAAAAAATAAAGAGGTGGGAACAGGAGGGCGGAGAAGGTAAAGCTGCTCCTAGGCTTAGTTGGCTTGATTGCCGTTGGTGGTTGTAGCAGGAATAAATGAGGGGCAAGGTTCAAAATGAAATTAGTAATATATATGAATAAACAGTACTGCTTATGTAAATGATACGTGTGTTTAAGATTCTGGCTCTTGATCTTTCTTGGGACTGATTCCCTTATTATTTTGAAAAACCTTGATGAAACTCTATATTGAAAAATTATATTTAAATAAAATTTTTATTATTCTCATTTAAATAAAATTTATTATTTTAAAATTAAATTAAGGTGTTACATTATTCACCTTTGACAATGGTTTTACCAACTCTTGGCGACAATTTTACTGCTTTTTAGTGACGGTTTTACCAACCGTTTATGGCAGTTTTTACTCCAATGTCCCACGTTTTTTAATGACAAAGATTTTTACTCCACTGTCTACGTCTTTAATGAC